CGGTCATCCCGTTGTGTTGTGCGAACTAAGAACTAAGCATTGGCACGCTCGCGCTGGTCAGGCAACTAACCGCTGGCATTATGAGAAGAAGAACGGGACAGTGGCGCAGGACGAAGTCCGGGCACCTGATGCCAACGGGCTCCCGAACGGAGAGAAGGTGGTTCGATTGGCAGTCATCATTCAGACATACGTCGACAATCAGAACTTTTCCAAAGAATCCTACATCAGCCAGACCGGAAACAGGCGTGACAAGCCATCGAGTGTCCAGTTGCAAGACATGGAAGATGCATACGATGCAGCCGACACAAACTTGCTCTTCGAAGATGATGATTGCTTTGAAGATGTCCGTGCTGTCGCCCCGAGTAAGCCGCACAATCCCTCATCGTCGAGCCTTCATGCTTCCGGTTCAAAAGGGAGAAGCTCAAAGCTTGGCGGCAGTACGGAAAAGGGCTTCAGTGAAACAACAAACAAGAAGCCGACAAAGATCAAGAATATCTCGGTAACCGGCTTAGTTCTGTTCTGTGCCAAGTTTGCTACACACATGCAGCTGTAACTTTAACCAATGTCTTTGCAGTGATATGCGAGCTTCAGGTTGTCATCGCAAAGAACAAGATAGCCACATTGGACAAACACCAGGATTGTTTGGACATGCCTGCGAAGTTCTTGCGTGAAGTTCAGGATGTCATGGCAGCCTTGGTTCAGGATGGGCAAATTTCCACTGAAGGCATCATCGAGCCTGAGGATTTGGATCTCAATCCTGAGGTGCTTGTCAACAATTCCTGTCAGACCTTGAAGCTCCGCACAGTCATCTGCGAGATGTGCTTCGGGATCCGGAAGGTCTGGCCGGATGATGATGGGACACATGAGGTGAGCACTGACAAGATGATGCATCTGCTTCGGCGGGACCCGTTCCTCGGCCCGGCGGCCGAGTTCAAGGACGCGGATGCATTGCTCAGTATCAGTGACGTCACCAAAGAGCGAAACGCATGGACAGACAAAGCAACCACTGTCTGAATCTCATTTGCCTCTCTTCTGAAGCTTCCTGTGCATTGGCTAGGCTAGAACAGATGTTCTGAGGAATCTGATGCACGAGCATACTTCGAGAAGCATCAGTTGCACTTGAAGAACATTATTAAGCTGATGTCTGCGTGGCGATCGTGCAAGAAAGATTACTTCAATGAGAAACGAGAGTTGCAGAAGGCCCTGCCCTGTCGCCTAACGTAGGCGGTGGTAAAATCTAACATCGCGAGGCTCCAAGCACTTCTAGGCAGATAGGGGGTTTCGGGTTTGGGGTCAGGCGTTTCAGGGTTTAGGATTGGGACTTGGGGTAACTTAGGGCTCAGGGCCTCGGGCCTAGGGGTTCAGCAGTTTATCAGAGTTCAGGGCTTAGAGCGTGGTATGGTTTCAGGTTCAAGCTGAAAGTCTCAGGTGTATTCGCAGCTTACTGACAACTTGCCCCAAACCCCGAGGCCCCAATATACGAACCCGGAGTATTGAAACGACATCCTAAATCGTAGAACAGCAAAGCCGTAAATCCTAACAACCCCAAGATAAAATAGAGCCTTCCTGACCTGAGTCCTTCGATCTTCGATAGCGAGGTCGGTAGACTGTAGTTGTAATGGGCCCGTGTCTTGTCAGCCTTCAGGCAGACCAGGCGGCTCAGAAGAAGCTGGAGGACCGTGAGAAGCGTGCTGCTCAGAAGGCAAAGAAGGAGTGCATTCCTCGTTTCATCCTTGCTTCGTTCATGATATGTGCTGTCCTGTGTTGTTGTCTTGCTTGTTGTAGATGCTGAGCAGGATGCCGACAGAGAGGCAAAAAAAGAACAAGCAAAGAAAGATAAAGAATCAGCCGCAGCCGCGCCCGAAGATGCCACCGCAAAGACAAAAGACAAGCAACGTCGCATCCGAGCAACCGAGATCACGGACCAAGACCTGCCTGTCATGCAGGACATGGGGAAATTCCCCATGCACAGGCGAGTTCCGGTGGAGGCACTCAAGACCCAGGGTGGAGATCCCGATTCTTACCTGTCCTGGGGCCAGCCTTTCATTATCCGCAACCCCAAGAAGAGCATTGTGAAGCAGCTGGCGCTTAGGCAGCACGAATTGCGAATGCTTGCGTTGGTGTTCATTGCTGTTGCTGTTATTTAGTTGTATCTTAGTGGGCCTGTGTTGTTGACGATGGGGTGTTCTTGCCGATGCTCAGTAGTCAATCCTCAGTGCTCAGGTCGACAAAGAGACGGAAGCATCGTTCCAGCATCAACTGCAGGAGTTCACGACTCTTTGGTCCCAGCGCAAGCAAGATGTGAACGATGGGGCTGAAAAAAAAACTTCTCGGGTTACGAAGGCATGTGTGATGAATGATACGATGAACTTGTTGGTGCAGGCATCTTGGCCTTTAAGATGTCATTTGGCATCGTGGTCGAGAGCACGTTCATGTTGGCATACAGTGCGTGCGTACGTAGTGTGTGTTGCTCGGAGGCTTTAACCTGCAGCATGGTTGAGTCCGACAAGATCAACACGATTGGTGAAGTTGGAGACAACAATCGACCATGGCCGCTAGACAAAGAAAAGCTCACAGCTATTCTGCGAAAGGTGTCCCTCGGCCCAATTATGCCTAGCATCATGACCTGATTCGGCCAAAAACATCACCAACAAACATCATGCGCGCGCGTTAGTGTCTGGTCGGTGTGGTTCATGTGGGGTGAGCCGAGGAAATCAACGAAGGATGATTTCCCAGGCATTGGTGATTGGGACCCTGTCGCTGTTTGCGACGAGCTGTGGCTCCCGAGTTTTCAAGCTCTTGTGCACGGCGATGAGTTCTGTGGTGTGGAACCAGTGACGCTAGAGACTATGCGGTATCAATGTTCGGGCAGCCGCCTGGTCGCCCTCGCCAAGCCCTCCGAGGTTTCGTGGTGTGTATTGGTGTGTTTGCCCGCGCGTCTGCAAGCGTTTGAGCTGCCTTGCACTCCTCGTGTCCAGTCGATGAGGTCGCTGAATTTCTCCAGGATGAGACCATGCATGGATGGAGAGACTGGATGCAACAGATGACGGCTGCGCAGGTCAAGGAGAATCCGGCCAGTGTGCCTTCCTTCAAAGTCGCACAGGTGCTTCCGGGTGATATTCTGTGGATGCCTATGGGCTATTATTACCTGGAGAAGGCCGTGAATGCTGACTCTATATCCTTCAGGGTATCTTTGCTGCAATCAATGCTATACGAAAACATGCACACAAGTATGTAATTAGCGCATCAGTCTTTGAACAGGTCCCACTTCCACTCTTTCGTCGAGACGGCAAAACGAACTTGGCAAAGCTTCTGCCAAGCCTGCCGAAGAAACCGGGAACGATTGCTGTGCATAAGTACTTGGAGGATGTGGACTTCCCAGCGAGCGACAACGAAGAAGACAATGATGATGAATGCGCGGACGAGTGGAACGAAGAAGATGACAAAGGTCTGGATGACCAACAACCTGGTGAGTGAGTTGGCTGCAGTCACCGCCGTCATTCCCTATGCCATTGTTGTTCAGTTTAGGGTGTTTGGGTTGCAAAAAGTGGCACATGGAACAAGGCTTCTTCAAGATGGCGGCGCAGTGGCAACTCGTGTGAAGGAAGAGCCCGAACCGAGTAAGGAATCCCCTTGCAAGAAGGCCAAAGTCCTCGCCCTCGAAGACCGTGCGACGATCCCTGATACAATTGCCGGTGGTGTGAACACAGATCCGATTACATCCCAGGCCCTTCTTTAGGTGTATGTTGTTTTGATCGTGTCCAGTATCAATAGTCAAAACTTTGTTTCGTCACTCGGCATACAGGAGCCGCGTGGTGTTGCAGAACCCCCGCCAGAGAAGGACAGCTTTCTCCCAGCATGTGTCGTCTGTTCGTTATGTCAGTATCCATTGATTCAGGAGCCCGTGCAGGATGGAAGTCCGGATGGTCAACAGACTGTTGGTCAGACTCAGAATGAACAGGCCGCGTCTGGTGCATGCGAGTTTGAATGTGCACGTATTGGTAGTTGATTCTTGTCTGATGCAGGATGGAGACGGTGTAGATGCAGCGCAGCCAGACCAGGACAGTTTGATCGTGCAGTTGTTGTTTGTGATTCTTGTCTGATGCAGGAAGGAGACGCTTCGAAGTCATCGCATCAAGACAAGTCAATCAAGGACAGTTTTTTCCCAACGTACATCGCCTGTTCGATATGTCAGTATCCATTGATTCAGGAGCCCGTGCAGGATGGAAGTCCGGATGGTCAACAGACTGTTGGTCAGACTCAGAATGAACAGGCCGCGTCTGGTGCATGCGAGTTTGAATGTGCACGTATTGGTAGTTGATTCTTGTCTGATGCAGGATGGAGACGGTGTAGATGCAGCGCAGCCAGACCAGGACAGTTTGATCGTGCAGTTGTTGTTTGTGATTCTTGTCTGATGCAGGAAGGAGACGCTTCGAAGTCATCGCATCAAGACAAGTCAATCAAGGACAGTTTTTTCCCAACGTACATCGCCTGTTCGATATGTCAGTATCCATTGTGAATAACGGTGTAGATGCAGCGCAGCCAGACCAGGACAGTTTGATCGTGCAGTTGTTGTTTGTGATTCTTGTCTGATGCAGGAAGGAGACGCTTCGAAGTCATCGCATCAAGACAAGTCAATCAAGGACAGTTTTTTTCCCAACGTGCATCGCCTGTTCGATATGTCAGTATCCATTGTGAATAACGCCACATAACAACATTCCATCAACAACTGCCCTTCATGAGCTCGTGGTGCAGGGTGGAAGTCCCGATATTCATCAGATTCAAAGTGCACTGGCCATGTCTTGTGCATGCGAGCTTGAGTGTGCACGTATTGGCGGTTGGGTCTGAGTCTGATGTAGGACCGAGACGGTCCGGAGGCAGCATCGTCGCACCAGGATGCGACCGTGAAGCCCAATGATACTTGACACCGTTTACTACACGAACCGGAGGGTCGGGTCGACTCTAGCTCAAATCATCGATCTGAGGCTGGAGATGTGGACATGAAGGACGCCGAACCGACCACCAAGCGCAAGGTTACTTGGTACAATTTACGTGAACCGGATTGTCAACTGTAACTGAGAGCATCCATATGAGTCACCTGAGGCGGCTGCAAATGATACGATCACCTCCACCTATGAGGCCGCCCTCAAGAAGCTCAAGAAGCCTGAGTTGGAAAAGAAATTATCGGCAACACCCGCTCTCCCCGAGCACATCATTCCCGGCAAGCTGAAAAAAGATCAGCTGATCGCCGAACTTCTCAAAGTGCATGCTGGATGCAGCGCCAACCATAAGATCTCGGCCATGTTTGGAGCCGGCGTAGCCGGAGCCAAGGGCAAGGAGTGAACAAGCAGCCAGTCTGCCAGTGCTACGGGGACGACGGGGACGAAAACAAGTGCCGTGTGCCACAACTGTTGTGTTCATGGTGTGCTCAAGCATTCAAGCGATATGGGGCTAATTATTTTGGTTGTGTGCCTGGGAGTTTACATCGTGTGGCGGTTAACGTTGTGCCGATGTAGGTTTGGGTTTATGTTGAGGCGACCAAGGGCCCCAGTGCTCCAAGCTTCAAGTCGTGTCTGCCAAAGGCCTGGGATCCTGAGTTTAGGACATATTCTAACGATCGGACCCGGATTCTGAGTTAATCCCGAACCCAGCCCCCCAATCTAAAGTTAGCACCGGTTGGTGTTGAGGTTAAGCCCCCGGGGCACTGCACATGAAAATTACCATGTAGGGTTTTAAGGATTTAGGTTTCAGGGTTTTAGGGTTTTAGTGTTTTGGGGATGTAGGGTTTTACGGATTTGGGGTTTAAGGTTTCAAGGGTTTTAGGGTTTTAGGGATTTCGGGTTTAGGGTTTTCGGGATTTAGAAATTTTGGGCTTCAGGGATTTAGGTATTTAGGTTTCAGGGTTTTAGTGTTTTAGGGATTTAGGGTTTCAGGGATTTAGGGCTTCAAGGTTTTAGGGTTTGAGGGTTTTTAGGGATTTAGGGTATCAGGGTTTTAGGGTTTATAAGGCCTGCCTCATAGATCCCTTATAGGAACCCTTAAAGGTTGGGACTGCTGAGGGCAAGCCCCAAGGGTTCGTGTACCTAAATACCATATGTCCTGGCTTCACAGTAGTCCTTGCATAGCTGCTTTGGGGGTCAAAGTATACTCATATGGATACATGGACTCTTAAGGAAGTTTAGATTTTAGAGTTAAGCCTCTAAAGTTTGGGGGTTTTAGGGCTTATGGCTTATAAGACCTATAAGGTTTGCAGGGTTTAGATTGTAGATTGAAGGGCTTAGGGATGATATGCACATACATATATATATATATGTGTACGTATGTTCTACGGGTTTGGGTGCCGATAAGTTTTGAGCGACACTGGTGTTGAACAGGTTTCTGTTATTTTTTTCGTGTTGGGGTCTGGGCTGAGCCGGGCTGGTCTGGGCTGTTTGCTCAAGTTTAGGGTTTGGGGCTCAAGGTTTAGGATTTGTTTGAGGGTTTAGAGCTTTAAGGTGCGCAAGGCTTAAAGCTTTGGTGCTGAGTTCATAAGCCGCAAAAAGCGTACACTTTCAGTTTTAAAGTGGTTAGTATTATTCTCAAAAGTGTAAAGTGTATCCGCTCAGCTTCTAAGAAAAAGGCTCAAGCATTTTGGGGTTTGGGGCTGAGGTTGAAGGCTTAACAGGCCCAAGGTGCAGGGTTTACAAGGCGTAACTTTTAAGGTTTAGGGATTGGGGATTTATGCGGCTTAGAGTCTGCGGTTTGAAGAGCCTGTAGGGTTCAAGATTCAGCATGTCGGGCTTACTTGGAGGGAGGGGTACTTAGTATCTGGTGATTCTATAGACTTATGCGTATCGTTTCTGGTACTTATTCTCTTTTAAGCCTACACACTGATTATAAATTAGCTTCTTACTAAGTCCCTGGACCCTCCAAGTAAGGTTTGGGGCTTGGGATTTAGGAGCCATGCCCGGGATCCCTCCTTCTCTGAAATGGAGGCCCAAATCATTGGACAGCCTGGGGTTATTGCAGTGGCACGTTTATCGTCACTAGATCATCGATACTGTTGTTGTTGCCCAGGTTCGTAGGACTCTATTCAGGATCATGCCGAGAATATGGATATCAAGATCACGGATTTGAGGGCTTTGCTTTTGAGGTATACGGTTTAGCCCAAGGGTCCAAGAACCATTACAGTAGGTACTTCGTAGTATGTACTTGGCCCCCCAAAGTATAGAGTGTACTATTACTTGCACCCTTTGCTTAGGGACCCAAACAAAGGCTGCATCACCACGATGCGACTCGGCTGCCCTGGGCACAAGTTTAGGGCCCCAAAAAACACATAAGCAAAAATTAGGATAGGGATATCCCATATAAACCCCCTCATAATGAAGCCCAATAGGGTAGGGATATCCCCATAAAATGCTTATGCTTATGTGCTTTTTGGGTTCCTAAAAATATTTAAGTAGCTTAAGCGGTGGAGACCCGTAGCCAGACCTCAAGCCCAAAGTCTTCAAACCATTACGCTATTTTTTAGGGGTCCATGTACCCATATGGTATGAACTTAGGCCTTCAAGCTGTCCCTAATTATATGTATATGTATGTTTGTTTGTATAAATATATATATATATATATATAATAGTATGCGGTCAATGTATACTCATATAGATACATGGACCCTTAGGGTTGCATATCAACTTTTCCCCGAACCCCTGAGCCCACTCCAAAGATCAGGGCTTAAGACTTGGGGGTTTGGTGGTCATTGGCCCAAACCTTGAGGTTTAGGCTTTAGGGTTTAGGTTTTTGTTTTAGGGTGTAGGGTTTAGGAACCTTCTGCAGGATTGAATAGCAAGCAGGCCTCCTGCTGCTTTCGCTTCTCTTCCTCAACGCTGGCCATAACCAAATACCTCAATAGTTTCGGCACTCAGTGCTGGACTAGGCAGGCAGACCCTAAAGGTCCATGTACTCATATTGTATATACATTGGCCTTAAAGTACTCCCCATAAAGGTACATTGGGCCCGAAGTATATGCTATATGGGTACATGGACCCTTAGGGATTGGGGTTATCGGTTATGGTTTCAAGAAGCAGCGAGACCTATGGAAGCCAGATGGCAAGAAAAAGTATATCCCTGAAACTTAAACCCTGAACCCGAAGCCGTTACAAAACGTCCTGAACCCAACCTCCGAACTAGGAAACCCTGCAAGCCTACATCGTTACCACTACACCTTGGGTACTGCGCCCATACAGTTACAGTAGCAGTCTACAATATAGGGATACTTTTCAGGTCCCACTATATCTATATACTATGAATATTATCCAAGCGTTCCTGGGGGCAGTACCCAAACTACCCCCCCCCCCCCCACACACAGAGATCTGAAACCTAACTTCAAACCCGGGCTCCAGAAGAAAAGAAAAACCACGTCAGCTCCAAAAGTTATAGCGAAGTTCACGAAACAAACATACATCAAGCCGTATACGCTAATACAACATGACTGTTAAGACACGCAAAGACTAAGTACATAGTTCGGTTAGCGATGCATATGTTGGCTCTGTGGTGTATATATATATATACTTACATATATATATATATATACATACACATATATATATATGTATATACAGACAACCAGCATGCACTAACATATAATCTGCACCCCTAATTATGCATGCAACAGAACGATTCCTTGTCTAGTTTTAGAGGGCGCGCAGTCCAGGAAACTCGCATTTCAGGGCTTTCGGCCCTAGGCCACCAATAAACGCGAAAGCCCCCGAAGCCTCCTCAAAGACCCTCTCATCTAGCACTTGGGCTTGTGGCAGCTAGACGCCCCTTGGCCTAAACCCTAAACCCTAAAACTCCATCCCTAAACCCTAATCCCTAAACCCTAAACCTTCATACCTAATCCCTAAACCCTAAATTCTAATCCCCAAACCCCTTGTGGAAAGCCGGAGATTGACATCCAAGCGTCTGCGTGTCGAAGCCCAATTGGACCTTTCAGGCTTGTTTTAGGGGGGAGGGGTGGCAAAAAGGATTCTATAGGTTGTCTAGGTTTAGGGTTTAGCCGCTAAGAATTAGGGTGCACTGGCTTTTAAAGGCTTTGTTTTTGAAGGGGGAAGGGTGGCAAAAAGGGTTCTATAGGCTGTCTAGGTTCAGGGTTTAGTCAGTATGGAGTAGGGTGCATGGGCTTTTAAATGCTTTTTTTGACGGGGGCGGGGTGGTAAAAAGGGGATGGGCTTAGGGCTTGGGGTCTGCAGGGGCCTGAGCCAGTAGGGTTATGGGGTTGAGGCTTGGGGTTTAGGGGTGCCTTAACAAGTAGGGTCGAATAGGTTGTCCGGATTCAGGGATTTAGCTTTCTGGATTAGGGTTCATGGGCTTTTCAATGCTTTTGTTAATTGTCCTAGAGCAGCTGTAAAAGTGATTTAAGAACTGCGGGGGTTCAAGGTTGCGGGGTCTTGGGTTTAAGGTTTAGGGTTTTAGGGGTTCAATTTAGGCGTTCAGGGTTTAGGGCTGAGGGCTTTAGGGTTTTGTGTTATTATAGTGCATTGGGCCTAGGGTCTACGGCTGGGACGGCCAAGACTTCAGGGGTTTCGATGGATGAGAGGCTGAGGACTCCAGAAGCAACAACTTAGAAAAACGAAAACCAAAAGGAGGGTTTTGAGGTTTAGGGTAGTTAGGTGTCTCAATAACTAGAGTACGATGTTGGAGAGTACCACTCAGAACGGGCTTAGCACGAGTAGTTCTTTTTTCACCAGGCCACTCTATTCCGCCCTCGGGGTCCAAAACCATGATATAACACTGAAACACGTCACCCATCCAGAAGCCCCAAAGTGTTGAGTGCCCTGGGGGAATCCGACCTCGTAGTAGAAAATCCTTGCAAAATCATACGGAAGCTCTTTGATGACCCTGCTTAATCTCAATTCCTCTACCCTATTGATCTCAATTCCTTTACCTATAAGACCTTAAAACTTTTTAAAGTATCACAGCATCAAAAAAATCTCATTACAAAGACGCCACAAAGAATCTCAATCGGAATGCAAGCCGGATGGCCTTTTCGCCTTCTCGTCGTGCACGGGCGCCCGGGATCGTGATCTCCTCTGCACGGCGTGAGTTCAGGGGGCGTTGGAATTTTGGAGTTTTGGGTTTGCGGTGGGGTTTGGGGCTTTCCGGCCTTCGGAGTCGTGGGTTTGAGCGGTCTTCTCGCTTCTTCAATAAGCGTGCCCACAAAAGATAAACTTCCAAAGATAGGCCAAGTGCAAATCAAGTTCTCCCATTGGCTATCTCAGGTTTCTCAAATTTTGAGGCTTTAGGGCTCCGGGCCTTAGGTTTCAGGGGTTTCCGTTCTCAAGGGCGGCACTGTAGTTCACGCTTCTTGTACAGATGTAGGGACATATATGTATGCATGTACATATGTATGTACATATGAACATATGTATGTTTACAGACATAAATGTAAACGTGTGTGCACTGCAGCGGCATACCCCTGCCCTTGAACAGGATATCGGATAGGGTTACAGGGTGTAGGGCGGTGGGCAAAGGGGCGGTGGAGGATTCTTGTGGGTAGGATACAAATTTCAGGGTTCGGGGCATTTATAGGGTCTAGGATTTAGGTCTCGGTTTGCGGGGGTTTAGGGGTTTAGGGTTTAGGGCTCGGGGTTGCAACTTAAGTCGGGTTTCTAGGGCTTCAGGATGAAACTCGGCTCGGGGATCTGGCTGGTGCAATACCCAGAGACTCCAATATCCCTTCTTTAAGAATTACACCCTAAATCTTATGAGAGATCCTATCATAATTTAAGAATTTAAGGTATACTCCTTAATTGAGGATATTGCTGTGGGAGTCTCTGAGTAAATGCTCTTAAGGTCCCTACATCATATGTCCCTATTATAGATCCCTTAGAGTACCCCTGTAAAGGAGCCGTTCAAAGGAACCCTACTCTAATCATTAGGGGCGCCAAAAACCCAAATGCTTGTGTTTGGGGCGTTGCTCGGCGTTACGCGGATGTGAAGCTCTGTCCTCTAGGCTAAATTGAGCTCACGGCTCATTTACCTTTGGTTACTAGGGAATAGGGCTCCTTTAAAGGGATCTATAGGGTTCCTTTTAAGGGCTCTATAGGGGTTTAGGGTTCCTTTAAAGAGATACTTACCTTTGGTTAGTAGGGAATGGAAGAATGGTAGTAATAGTAAGTAAAATTGTACCCCATTCCTCCATCCCCTACTAACCAAAGGTAAGTATCCCTTTAAAGGGACCCTAAACCCCTATAGAGCCCTTCAAACGAACCCTATAGATCCCTCTAAAGGAGCCCTATTACTGAGTAACCAAGGGTAAGCTCAGAGCTATGGGTTTGCATTTAAACAAAGCCCTCCGGGAGGATCCAAAAAGTAGATCCCTTAATGGGGGGTTCCTATAAAGTACCCTTAGTAGTATAGGGCCCTAAACTAGGGCATGCACTTTCTAGATTTTTCCGGGGGTCTGGGAAGCCGATGAAAGCTGCATCCGGGGGGCGTCTATTTCTTGCAGCGACTTCGACAGGTCCAAGGTGTGGCCTTCGTGCATCAAAGTGACCTGAGCCAAGTAGGGAAACTCTTGAAAATGGGCGCCGGTTCCCAGAGACTCCAAAACCCCTAATTAAGGCTTGTGCGCCAAAAAAACACCGCTCGAAATGACGACGAGGAAGACAACGATGATGATGAAAATTACGATGGTCACGATGATATCGATGGCGATGGCGATGATGATAACAATCGTGGTAGCAATGATGATGACCTGGCGATCTGGCCAAGGTGACCTTGCAAAGACCTTTTGCCCCAGACGTTTTCTACCTACAAACCTCAACAAACTTGCCGCGACCTTCAAAGTCATCGGCCCCACCAGTGTTTTCGCCTTCTGCCGTAAGACTAGCTTTGCAGCCCAGGTCCAGAGAATAAATTCAGGCCGGCTTTGCCCAGCACACAAAAAGCCCACTGCTCAACACATTGATGACGATGATGATAACGATGATGATGATGATGAGAATGATGAAGATGATTGCGATATCGATGGTGACTGTGAGGATGATAACGATGTTGACCTCGATGATGATAGCACTGATGGTCGCCTTGGACGCCCAGAAAACTGGACACGAAATCGTGTCCCGTTTTTGCTTCTGCCACGCGACCGCTGGGGAAGGTCAAAACATGCGATTTTGCTGCGCCTGCCACACTTTTGTACACATCCCTCGGCCGCTCCTCTGTAGGTTTTGTCTTCAGGGTGTTCTTTTTTTGGCGCGCGCGCCTTAATGAAGGAATACGCCTTAAAGCATATGAGGGTCCTCTTATGATTTAAGGTATATTCCTTAATTAATCGGTTTTGGAGTCTCTGGGTTTCGGGGGTCCTCATTTTGTAAGGATCCTCTGATGCAAGGACTCTACTGAACTGGATATCCTGGGTTTTCTCAGACTCATGTTCGGACTAGTTCAGACAACAGAAGTTGAACTTATATTCAGACCCGAACGTTCTTCTACTTTATGGTTCGCGTTGGGGTCCTGCTATAGGAAATTAAAGTGACCTCGCATGTATCTCAGTTCAGGCTCTAAGTTGGGTTTAGGGTCCGGTCCTCCAGGGCTTACTGACTGTTTCCCAGAGACTCCAAAACCGCTTAGTTAAGGAGTATACCTTAAACTATATGAGGATCCCTAATATGATTTAAGGTGTATTCCTTAAGGGGTTTTGGAGTCTCTGGGTTCGAGCCTTTTGTGACGAGGTATAGCCTCGATTCTGATTCTGCAACTGAGGAGCTTTGAGGCATGGCTAGAGCCTAGACTCAACAAACCCAAAGCCTCTGAACGAAGCTGCCCTGACCCCCAACATACTAATACTGCACCGTAAGGCACATGTGTACCATAAGGCACATGTATACAAGATGTTGCCGATGCATGAATCCATAGTACAAAATTTGGCCTTAATGGGATAGCTATATGTGTACCAATGTACTGTAAGGCAACTGTATACAAGACTCGTCGGGAAGAATCCAAGGGTCCGGAATTGGAAGGTAGGGGGGGGACGCCGGGAACCCAGAGAGCCCAAAACCCCTTAATTAAGGAATATAGCTTAAATCATAATATGAAGCCCTATCCCTGGGCATCAAAATAGCCCAAAAGCCTTATATAATGAGGTCTTTGGGCCCAAAAGCCTTAATATATGAGTCCTTCGATGCCTAGGGTATATAATTTAAGCCATATTCCTTAATTGAGGGGTATTGGGCTCTCTGGGAAGCCTTAGCCCGAAGCCGTTCGGCCTCGCTTCTTGGACGGGCGGGATTCAGAGTTTAGGGCTTTGGGGTTTCGGAGGCAGGGTTTAGGGTTTTAGGGTTTAGGGTTTTAGGGTTTAGGGTGTTAGAGTTTTAGGGTTTAGGGTTTAGAGTTTAGGCTTGTTCAACTTTTGGAAACATCCAAACTCAAGTCCACCGTGATCTGCGAACGAGATTGTACGGTGACGTGGCGAGGGTTGGTACCTTCATGGTCGGCGGGGGGGGATGGAGCCTAAACCCGGAGACGCACAACATGTTTGTTAACATGAGCTTTTCTTTAAAATGAAGCGATCGATACCAACAAACATCTTCAAAACCATGCTCACAGACCCATGTGTATGTATACATATATATATATAGAGATATGTACATATTCATATACATACACATGCATGCATGCACACACAGACAGACACAGAGACATACACAAACACCTATGTATGCACGTACACATCTCTCTCTCTCTCTCTCTATATATATATATATACACAGACAAGTAATTGATTTGTTCGTTTATTTACCTGCATGTACATATATGTGTATACACCAAACATTTACATGTCGATTTTATATATCGTCCTATACAAGTATAGATAGATTACGCGCGCATATACACATATATACATATATTTACATAAGTAATACGACTGTGTAGAAGCCGTTCGAACAAAAGCCTTTGGCATCACCAGTGCAGCCCCGAGATCCCTCAGGGGAACTTGTGTAAAGTGACCTTACCAGGGCCTGGGCTGTACAGCATGAACAACATGATTTCCGCATCGGGCAATGGTTAGGTTAGATTCCCTAAGAAGAGCCTTTACAATCGCGTGCTAAGCCGACAAGGCCAGCATGAAACCCTGACACAACCTTGGAACTACCTTACAGGAACGCCATGAAATCCCGAATGAACCAAGGAAGAACCCAGTGATTCTGCTGAGGCCGAAGCAGCTTCCGCAGGAACGCCTGGCCAGCAGAATCCGAATACCCCTCTATACACCCGAAACCTTGCAGTTTAAGGGTTTATTGAAGGAATCCACAAGGGATCCTTTAAGGGATCTCTAGGGATCCTTTAAGGGATCCTTTAGGGATCCTTTAAGGGATCCTTTAGGGATCTCTAGGGATCCATAAGGGTTTAGGGCTTAGGGTTGAGGGTTAAGGGTTTAGGGCACAAAGGGCCCCCACATCCGAAGCCTTACAGTTTGGGGCGTACTTGGTTGGGACTTAGCAAGTCATTAGGTACTAAGTAGACTTATAAGTACCGTAAAAGGGGATAGTAGTGGGGTTATGATACTTATAAGTCTGTAGATAACTACCTGCTAATACTAAGTCCCCTAACCCTGCAAGTAGCGCAAAGGGTTTAGGGGTTCAGGACAAAAACGTCTCGGGTTTAGGGACATGGGTGATTGTCAAAACTACGGTCCCTTTTTGGATACCCTAAATATGATATAGAGGACCCAAAAGGGACCTTAATATTGACAACCACCCATATGAATACTGAACTTAAAACCCTAGCAAAAATTACAATTTTTAGCTGTTTCTCAGGGATTACAATAACAAAAAATTAAAAAAATCTAAGCACCCCTAAGATATGAAGAAGCCTCAGGATGTAAGTGGCTAAGCTTCGTTTAGGGTTTAGGCCTTCATGCTGCAGGGTTTAGGGTTTAGGCCTTCAGGGTCCAGAGCATCCAGCAGTTCCCATAGTTGGGCAGATGAGTTTAGGATAGCATTGCAGTTTTTGTGAGTGAAGCGTATGACAAGTTTAAGTGCTTCGACGCTGTGGGTATAGTTTACGGCTAGGGATCATGTCGTGGTTTGAAGGGTGGGTTACACATTTATTCGGCTTTGTGGTAATGGGTTTCGGGGTTCATAGGCTTCCATCGAAAGTTTTGGGATTACGACCTTGAGGAATTACACCCGTCGTAGAAGGAACGAAATCAACGGATTGCGGTTTCGGTGCTTCTCGTGACGCCATAACTACACACCCCAAACTTTCGAAAGACCAGAAATCTTAGTCCGACATGCTCGGTCGGAGGCGCCGATAGGATCCATGCTTGGCCCACTGGAGTGGCTGACCTGACGCCGGGTCGACCTAGGCGCCCGCCAGGGTGGCCGACAGCCACCATAGCTGGGGGCGAGAGATCCAGCCAAAGTCCGACGCACACACCATGATGGGTTCGACGCCAAGCGACTCCGAGATCTTGGGTGCGTCGGCGGGCTCCATGCCGACGTTCTCGAACAGGAACGCCACTCGTCTGCCGGGGAGCTGCGCGACGATCTGCTGAAAAAGGTCGACGGTCAGCAGGAAGAGGCTGCCCCTCTCGCCGGAATGGCCGGTAGCCGGGCCGATCCTGGAGAAGTCCTGGCACGGCGGGGCGCCAGTGATGACGAGTGTACACTCCCCGTTCGGGTCCGCCTTCCTGATCGGGGCTGCGACGGAGCCGGGAGATTCCGTCGCAACGTCCCCGCGGTTTAAGATTTACGGTGCCCTGAATGATGGGAGACCACAAGGGGGGCTTTAAGATTCTTGGGGTAGGGATTCCTTAGTATGAACTCTATTATGGGATTTACCCTAAGGGTCCATGTACCCATATAGCATATACCTGGGGCCCAGCGTACCTATATAGGGAGTACTTTAAGGCCAATGTATATACTATATGAGTACATGGACCCTTAAAATTACGGTGCCCCGAAGCCTGAAACCTAAAGGCCGGATTTGGGGGTTTGTAGGGCTGATTGAGCCTTGTCTAGGATCGAATCATTCCGGGAATGCTGGGCTTGGATGTTAGGGTTTACCTATAGTCTCCTTTGTAGTTCCTTTTTTTGGTTAACCAAAAACTATATTATAGGATCCTAACCATAAACCGGGTAACCAAAAACAGGAACTACAATGGAGACTATAGGTAAGGCTCATGGTTTCCAACCTCTCAGTTGTACGTATACGGCCGATTTTTTGTTGAGCACCGGTTTTCTGAGGGTGTAGGGTTTAGGGTGTACGGTTCAGGGTTTAGGGGTTCAGGGCTTGGGAGAATACAAATAACAATGCAGGGGCTTAGTTAAAATAAGGAAAACTTGCTTCGTGTCTGTTCTTCAGCTTTGGTTGGGCTTCGAAAGAAACTCAAGGCGAAGCATTAAGGCTAAACCCCCCCCTCCCCACACACACACACAGACGAGTACTGAACGACACAATCGAGTACCTCTAAATGCATCCCTTCCATGATCACGCTCCGCGAGAACTTTCGAGGAGGTAACCACACTTGGCTGACTTCTGAACCCCCCTAAAAGTCAAACTTCTAGCCTCCTTCTTACAGTTCACATAGAAACCCCAATTAGTTAAAGTCCTAAGTGCCAAGCAGAGGAACGCCAAGATACCCTAACCACTAAACCTAAACCCTATAGATCCCTTAAAGAGCCCCTTAAAAGTAGCGTTAAAGATCTCTATAGATCCCTTAAAGATCCCCTTAACCACAGGTGGCCTATTGCAGCCGCGAGGGCCTCGGCACCAGCCTGGCTCTCCCAAAAATGATTCGGGCTCGGTCTTGAAATCAAGTTAAGAGCTTTGGGTTTAGGGTTTAGGGTTTAGGTTTTGGAAACATTTGGTTGTTTCCGAAAATCGGGGGGGCACCTTATTTTGGAGTCCTTATAATAAGGATCCTACGACTTAGGGTACTGTATTAAGGTCCCCTATTTCCGGAAACTCCCATTCAGGGTTTAGGGATAGGGTGCAGGGGTTCGGGGGGCATTGGGGATGATGAGGGTTTGGTGTTTTCTAGAGTGCTCAAGCTGTAATACGGTGGTGATATCAACCCTGCATTACCCATAGTAAGGAATATACTATGATTCCCACGGTTTAGGGTCCTTAAGGAAATGCAGGATTCATATCATAGTTGCACAAAGCCGTTCCCCTAAAGGTCCAGGTACTCATATAGTATATAGGTAGGCCTTCAAGTAGTCCCTGTGTAGCTACTTGTAGGTACTTTAAGGTCAATGTATACTCATATAGATACATGGACCCTGAAGGTTACAAACCTCACAAACCAACTACCCTATCTTAAACGCTAAGCCCGAAGAAACCCTAGATCCCCCACCTAAACCCTTAATGCCGATCCTCCGGGTCTGCAATCTGTGTGGCAAATCTATTTATCCCCAGAAACCGCGACCCCATAAAACCTAAACCCTAAAGTTTAAAGTCTAAGGGTTAGGGTTTACAGAACCCTTGAAAAGCGAATACATCTTCCCCCCGCCCCTCCCGCCCCCGCGCTCCCTTCCCAAAGATGTAAACGAGCACCGAAAACACAAAACCACACTCAAAAGACTCCTGACCTGAAACCTCAAAGCCCCACCCAATCGTAGTCCCTACAACCCATTTCCCCATTCCCTACTACGACCCAGACAGATCATTCAATCCTGAGCTACCCTGGGAGTGGCCTGCAGAGCCGTATTTTTGGAGATCTCCGCGAGGAAACTGCCCTGTAAGCAGAGGGCTGAATCCTACTTGGGGGGTCGGGACTTAGGAAGTAGTAATCTAATAGACTTAGGGTTTTTGGGTACTTTATAGACTTAGGATTTTCTGTTATCTTACAGCATAGACTTGACTTATGACTTATGGTTTTAGGGTATTTTATAGACTTAGGATTGAGGGGTTTTTGGACACGAGGCTTCCTGCAAAGGGCTCACTATAGGGGTATTCTGAGAGTTACTATAAGGGGTTGCAAGGTTTCGGGGGACTTGGTAAGTAGCCATTGTACAGACTTTGCGCTTTAGGGTTTAGGGTTTAGGCTGTCTTTTGTAGAGGGTTTTGGGGTTTAGGATCTGGGGCTTAGTAAGTAGTTGTCTATAAGTTTTATAGACTTGCAAGTATCATAAAACTCAATAATGAGGCAGGGTACTTGCAAGTCTACGTATTAATTACCTATACTTACTAATTAAGTCCCCCGACCCTCCAAGTCAGAGTCCACAAGTGAGTCATGCAGGGCCTTAAGAATTAAGACCAGGGACACCTCAAGAATAGTGTGTGCAATTACTCAGTGCCCCTGATAATAACTAGGTGTTGCGGTTTGTGCTATGAAGAAAGTAGGGTTTTGGGAAAAGTGTGAAAAATGTTTCAAGTTCGACGGTGTTCAAGCTTTCGGGTTTTCGGACATGTATGCAGTCGGTTTCGTGCACGTGCATGGTAAAAGATCGGGGCCTTAATAATTAGAATATATTCTAAATTATAACAAGGACCCCCCCCCCCAACATAGTATTAGGTAGTTATTTAGGCGATTTAGGCCCCTATAGTAGAACCGCAGTTTGGGACCCACGGCTCTAAGAGAGTGCCCCCTTGCAAAGATGCCTGCACCTTTCGTGCTGCTTCCGACGCACCATCCACGGCCGCGAAGCGAACGCCAATGAGCGGTGCTGCCTCAAAGAGTTCGAAGTTTACCTAATATAGAAAGCCTATATACATTCTACTATACAGGTAATATAATATTGTACCCTTAAACATCCCTTATAGTAACCCTTATAGGCCCTTTTAACGGAACCATGCATGCTTCGGAAGGTTTGTTCTTCTGCTGGGATCGGCGATAAAGGCTGTGCTATGGTATGTTATGCTCTGATTCGATTTGACTCGTTCTGCATACATATGTGTATATACACAGAAGTCCATATACATATATATATATATATATATATATAGAGAGAGATATAGATATGTATAAATAAATATATATATATATATATATATATATGTATAGATATGTATGTATATATATATATATATATATGTACATATATGTATATATATATATACATATATTATATGTATATACACATACACATTCATGTATGTATGCACATATGCATGGAGGACCTCTTTGAGGAAACCCCGAAGGCCATGCCAAACCTGATCAGGGGCACGGCGACGGCCTACACCTCAGAAAGCATCCCAACGGTTTAGGGTTTAGGGTACTGTCTGGTTCTTAGTAGGGAATGTGGGAATGGATCCCTATGATAGTCCCTCAAGGTCCCCTATAATAGTAGTCCCAATAACCCATGACCCATCCCCTACTAAGAACCAGACAGTCCATTAACAAGCTCAGGTCGCGGGGTACAGCATGCTAGAGGTAGAAGAAGGAACCCTATGGAATTGGTCTTGCTACTTGTTCAGGCTTCCACCATATTTGAATTACGGCAGCTGCAACCAATCCAATCATAAATCCTAAACCGAAAGCTCTGGCTCAACAAAGGCACGCATGGCAATATCAACGCAACACCTAGCCCTAGGGGTCCAAGGACCCTATCAAGAGGTACTTGGGTTTAAAGGTCATAGTAGTCTATAGTTGTAGACAACATGATTCTGTATTCAAATAGTATATGATCACTGTATTCTGCTTTGCCCATAGGCCTTACCTTAACCCGGAATAACCTACCTTTTAAGGACCTATTAAGGAAATCATAATGAGGAACCCTTAAACGGTAGGTTCTTCAGGGTTAAGGTAGGCTGGCCTCTTGTACCGTGAAGACTCAGACCCGGAAACCAGATCCCTCACGCGGCCTCACCGAAAGTGCCTAGCTCGGTCACCACGTCTGCCATCGCTACGGCCGCGGGAAAAAGCGGCACTGAAACCCCTCAGTTTCAGCGAGCGGACTTACAAACGATCCAACTTAGGACTCTCTTTCACGTTTGTGCTCAAACTGGTTGCAAAGGAAGGCTTCAAAGATGGTTTGAGGCTTTCGGGATCAAATTCAGAGACCATCCTGCACTGAGGCTGCTGGTCGGTTCTAAGCCTCATGCCGGGCCTATATGGTTCTTTCTGGCTGAAGACTGAGCTTGCCGTGCCTCTCGCTGGCAACTAGACACTTGATGCTGCAAGGTGCACGAGCGAGCCGGATGGGAAGCCGAGGTCTTGGGGGCTTATTATAGGAGCCTCGATCACTGGAACATGGTTTTAAGCGGTATGTTTGAAGGAACCCTGAAGGAACAAATTCGTATATGTATATATATATAAACATATGTATACATATGTAAACTTTATGGAAGCGTGTAGAGGGTTTGAGATCTAGAGGGTTTGGGGTTCTGAGAGCTCGGAACTTAGGGCTTATGCGATAGTTGCAAGCCAGGAGGTGATCTTTTGCTCCCGGCTTGTCTAGACTCTCTCTGAACATGTAAGGTCTAGAATCTTAGAACCAAGGTCCAGGTTTACCAGATTCGACATACTAACTGCAATCAGCCATGCTCAGCTCAGTTGTGTGTCGGTTTACTGTAGCCTCAATCCCACCCAAAGAAAGGTGACCCCCCAAAACAGCACAACAAGCCTAAACCCTAAACCCCTAAACCACTAAAGCTGAAACCGCAGTAGGCAAACGGAGCCACGGGGTTGGGACTGTGGGTGGAAAGCTATCTGGCTACATGTTTTACAGCTACAGAATATTTAGCGCTGGCCGCTTCCCAGAGACTCCAAAACCCTTTAATTAAGGAATATACCTTAAATTGTAGTAGGGGTCCTATTATAATTTAAGGTATATTCCTTAATTAAGGGGTTTGGGAGTCTCTGGGTTTAGCGCTGGCCGCTTCCCGCTTGTCACAGAAAGACCCGACATGCCTGGTGCTGCTTGTGAGCTGGGAGGTGGGCAACTGCCTCGCTCAAAGTCGGCTTTAGGGTGCCGGGCTGAGGAGGTTCAGTTTGTTCCAGTGGTACATCATAGGGATCCTTAGGGGTGTAGGGGGGAGGGGTGCAGGGGACTATATTTCCTTAAATAGGCCTTATTAGTCCTTATTATGGGCCTTAAGGCCCCCTACCCCCCCTCCCGCTACACCCCTAAGGATCCCTATGAGTACAGCTGTTTGGGGGTTTGCAAAATTGTTGGTCGCCCTATGCCTTAACGATTTGTGCAGAATATATATATATATATATATATACATGACTCATGACTTTAGGCCTCAAAGGGCTTGGGGTTATGGAGGACTTGGGGTTATCGGTACTAGCATTTACGGCTGTAGCGATTAGCATTTACGGCTCTTTAGCGTTTACCCAGCTATGGCTTTAAATTGTGTCTTAGAGTTGCGTTTCTATGCCCTAAAACCGTATGGTAGGTTTCTGGGCTCCGAGTGCAACGTCGCAAATCAACCCATGCAAAACCATCATACAACGGTTCTAAGCCGCCTAGGAATCAGGAAACCACTGTCCAGCAGATATACTTGATATCAACTTGATATCATACCCCTACAGAGTCGCTGTAAAGACTAGAACACCAATATTTAAACAAACCGCCCTACACCCTGAACCCTAAACTAACCCTAAACCTAGATCTTAAACCCTTAACCCTAAACCTAAACCCTAGACCCTAAACCTAAACCTAAACCCTAAACCTAAACCTTAAATCCTAAACCTAAACCCTAAACCTTGAGCCCTACAGACTGAACCCTAACTAAACCGTAGACCTCCATTTAGCTGCCTCGTTCACCACGGAATCGAACTGCGCCTGATCCATGGAGGAAATCCTTGGTAGGCAGCCCCGTGGTTGTGCAAATTACAGCACAGAGTTCGTTAAACCTGCAAACCGGCTTGAAGAGTTTGGGGTGTAAGGATTATATAGGGTTTAGGGTTTAGCGGAGATATGTAAACAAGTTTTACACTGCTTCATAGGGTTGTACAGAGTACTTTATGGAGCTGAACCAAAAGAAGGCCCGGATACCATGAGGCTTGCATAGGGCTTCTCCATGATTCTTAGAGTACCTGCATGATAACGTAGGGTTTCGGGTTTACATAGGAGTTTCCGAAAATAGGAGACCCTAATAATATAGTACCCAAACAGTAGGATCCTTGTTACAAGGATCTCAAAATGAGGTAACTCTAATTCGGAAACTCCCACATTGACCGACAAGGTCATGCGGCTCATGGATAAAACTTACACCGAAATTCTTTAAAAGCACTCAAGGCTTTAGATGTCAGGGTTTAGGTTTGGGGTTTTCGGGGGTTAGGGTATAGGTTTTGGCGGTTCAGGGGTTTAGGGTTTACCTGCATTTTTGAGTCATACCGTAGCCTAATACGAACACTTTCTTGAAGCGCCTCGATGACAATCCTTCTACCTGGTAAAGCATGAGGCTCTGGTTCGAGTTGGGTTTCACATAAACCGGAACGATTGGATGGCTTTTGGGGAGAAGCCACAAAAATCCCGGGCCCAAGATCTTTCAGACCGTATCCGCATAATTCCCGAGCCTACAACAGTAAAGCTGACTCACTCACAACCCTTTCAAGACCACCAAAGACGGCCTTATCTCGAGGCCTTATGACCAGCACTGATATTTCAGCTGTGACGGGGGAATTGAAGCTCTCAGCGCGGTCGACTGATTTTTCTGAGTCTGCAACTTATCCTTCTTCTTCTGCAGCTGGCGAAGAAAAGTGGTCGCGACATCCTGCCAAGGGGACGGCCTGAACCCATAGCCTGAGCCCACAGTTCCGCACAACGCAACAAGATGTATACTTTTTGACCTTGGAATGTGGTCCCTGAACCCCACCACCTGCTGCACGCCAATCCAGTCACCCACGCCCATCTTCTCCCAGTGCTCCTGTGAAGCTCTCATGCTTAGGCTTCACTGTTTATGACCATGGCTGTTGCTAATGGCCTTGTATTACCAGCGGTTTTGCCACACGCCGCAGATGTTTCTGATAGAACGACTGATGAAGCAGATGACCTTGTTGATGGCGGTAATAGACGAAGGTCTTAGTGATAGCAACAGAACTAGTACTGTAATCCGTAAATCCTGAAGCGTTGTTACATCAGACTAGGATACCCAGTAACCTAAGAATAAAAAGGCCTCTCTTTTTGGTATTGGGTAACTTTAAGGAACCTAGGACTACAAAATTGGAATAAGGGTACTACTGGGCATCCTACTTGGAGGGTCGGGGGACTTAGTAAGTAGGTAGTACGTAGACTTATAAGTCCCCTAAAAGGGACCCTAATTGGGGTTATGGTACTTATAAGTCCCGAAAATAACCAGTTACTAAGTCCCCCGACCCTCCAAGTAGGCAGCTTCAAACCCAGGGACATTCCGACCCGAGGCATGGGTTCGCAGGGTTCGCCACACACTGGAACTAGACCGAAGAGTAACCTAGGAATAAAAAGGGTGCCCTTTTTGGGTTAAAGGGGCTTATAAGGGAACCTCAACCTCAAAAAAGGGAATAAGGGCCTTACTCTAGGTCTTAAGGAACTAAATTTTCCATCAAGGTCCAAAGGCCCAGCTGCCTCGTGGTTCGGCTATACCCAAACCCTGAACTCTAAACCCCTAAACCCTAGACCCAAACCCTAAACTCTTAAACCACTAAACACCGAAACCCTCAACATTTTGGGACCAGACTTCATTCAACCCCGAGCTTCTGGCTATGGCTCCTGCTGAGGTTTCAAAGCCACAAGTTCCCCTAAGAGTGCATGTACCCATATATCATGATATGCCTTTGCCTTATGTAATCTCAGCAGCAACGTTTTAGTGTCAAAGTATACTCATCATACGGATACATGGAACCTTAGGGCTCAGCAAGTGAAGAAGAGTTCAGTAAAGCAAAGGTGTCAATAAAGGTTGTATGTTTTGTAAGAGTTCACTTTCTATACGGGGTTGAGGGGCTTTGAAAGTCTTGTATAGGGGTACCAGTAGTAATCGGTGCAGGTCAACACTGAGGGCTTAGAGCTTCAGCACATTGAGGGCTTGAGTTGAGGGTATATTCGAGGCTCGCCGTGCCCGAAAGCCCTAAATAACACCCTCAAGCCCCAAACGGAAAGATGCCTGAGCTAACAAGCCCCACTAAATGTCCGCAAATTGTCTTGCAGTCCCCAAACCCTAAAGCCCCTTGAAATCTTTGCATATGCACCCTAAACCCTCACACCCTTTCGCCTTAAGCTTCAACCCGGACGTCCAACAAGCCTAAACTTCTACGGGAAAGAGCAGCGGCCGTCAAAGGCTTGCATTCCACTGGTGACCGTCAACCGCAGGAGACAAACACCACCACGACAGTAAGACATATAAACAAACCACTTAATACCAACAGGTCAAAGATCTTCCAGATGTCGTCTATGGTGCATCGCGATCTCCAGTTTCGACTGCAAGGGAATATTCTCTCGCAGCTTCATTTTCGCTGCCATGCAGATCTCACAGGCACTGAACAAGTTCTGCGCTCGGAATTTCAATCAATCTTTCCAAGTCTCTGTATAGAACTTGCGGCAAGTCCTGAAGTCGCAAGCCTGCAAAGTTGGGATCGATGCACTTCGAACACCCTTTCGGGTTGCCTCTGCACCTATCGCATCCGAAAATCTCGCTGGGCTTGGGCTTCTGGGCCTCTTCGGGCGCCTCTCGCAAGGCCGGTGCCGCAGTTGGCCGTTTCATACGGAACCTGAAAGAAGGAACCCTGCTCTAATTCTTGCGGCTCCGGTAGATAACCCTTGTATCCAAGGGTAAAAGGAGGGACCCTTAATAAGGACCCCTAGGTATATACCCTTAATATAGCTATTATATATATAGCCCACTATAGGGTAGGGGTCCCCATTAAGGGTCCCTCCTTTTCCCCTTGGATTGTAGCAACCCCAAAAAACAGAACACTC